CGGGGAGGATGGTGGGGGTGGGAAGGCTGCAGGGGGCCGAGGGGAGGTAGGGTGTGTGGGGGCCCAGCCACGTTCGCTGAGCCCCTCAACTTTGACTCCTGTAGCTGGACAAGAAGGATGGCATCTACCCGGCTCAGCTCATGAACTACTAGGCTCCCGAGGGGGCCAGCAGGCAGGCCTGGGCCTTGGGTGGCCGCCCCATCTCGGCTGCGGAGCCTCCACGGGGTGTGGTGTCCCCCACCCCACGGACCGGATCAGTGTCCCCGAGGTCCCCAGCCCTCGCTGAACCCAAAGGATCAGGGGCCGGTTCTCCGTCTGCAACAGGCACTCGTGAGCGCAGCTAGGATCTAGCAGGCCCGAGCCACAACGTCTTCAGGAAACACATGGAACATTTGTAATATTCTGAGTTCAAGCTTTCCTTTGTGAGTTTGTATTCACCCTGAGAAGCAGGGCCCCAGGAGCGGGACTTTGGGTAGGACCTTCCCTGCCTTTTGAACTCAAGGTCTGAGGTTAGCGATGAACGGTCAGTCCATGCTGGCGTTGGGGACATAGGCAAGATGTGGTAGCTACTTGTAGCTTTCGGGCACTGAGTCCATGGCGATGGGGCTGGGGTGGCCTCAAGCAAAGCAGACTGCTCCAGAGCGGCCTAGCATTGCCCTTTCTCCTTGGGCCTCGCTCCAAGGCATCGGGGACGGGAGTGTGGAGGACAGGACCTTTGGGGAGATGCGGGCCCGGCGGGCACAGGTGCTGTGCGGTCACTCCGGGAGTTTGTTCCGCCGGAATCTATGGTGACCCTCCTGTGTCCTGTCCTTCATGACCCTGATCTGGCTGCTCCTGCCCTGGAGGCCCCGTTCTGCCTGTTCCCCTTTGCCGCCCCCACCTCCCCCCTGCCTCCTTCCCTCCCCTCCTCATGAGGTGATGGCCAGACCTCTCGAAGGCCTCCCCAGCTCAGCCACAAAAAGCCCAAGAACTAGGACGCCTGCCTGCCGTCCTCCAGATCAAGGGCACCTTTGTGCCCGGCAGCCTGGCCGCAGCCCCGCTCCACCGTGGGCCTGCCCTGCCCCCACTGGGAGGAGGATTTGCAAGAACGTGTGTTCCTTGGACCCCGCCCCGGGGGTGCTTGGGAGGAAAGGACCGGCAGCTCCCCCCGCCCGCAGGGTGCTCCGGTACCAGCCACGGACTGGACATGAGCACAAGGAACCAGCTCTTCTGCTTTGCCTTTAGTCTTTCCTTGTGTTGAAGAGTCAGACTGGCAATAAAATGCACTTGGACTGTCGTCACTGCCCTACCATGAGGGGCCGCGCCTGGGCTGTCATTTCTCCAGGGCCGGGACGTGCACCGCAGGGCAGGGACCCACTTAGTTGCTGCAGGTAACAGGGCACTTGGAACTACGGAAGAGCTTGCACAGCTGCTTCTGGTTCCGCCTGGCTCGTTTCCTGGGAAGTCTGTGACTTGCGGCCGTAGGACGGACACCTCCGTGGTGAGTCGCGGCTTGGGTCTTTCCTCCCTGGCCTCTACTGCCACCCCGAGTCCCCTGGGTTCTTGTCCACACACACCCTCCCCCTCCCCCAGCCCTGTCAGAAGCCACGCTTCTTTGGGAAGGGGGAGGAGTGACCACTGAGTCGCTGCAGTTAAGAACGGCCCACACCGGGGCTTGGCGGCGGGCACGCGGACTCCTATCTGGTCTGGACTGAACCGGCGTGGCCACACGCAGCCTTGTATTAAGAGAGCCTAACAGGCCTCTGGGTTCCCAAGAGCACAGCTGGCTGTGCAGACACCCGCTTTCTGCGGGGGCGCCCCCGCCAAGGGCTCCCGGCCAGGCGGCCTTGCCTTGGCACGCTGCCCACAGCGCGCCCCCTTCCCCCGCAGGCCACCGGCATTTGTGGAACAAAGACCATGCGGGTCAGGGCAGAGGAAGATCAACTTGGGTGGCTTCCACCGCATGTGGCCTCAGAGGAGAGTCTCACTCCCTGTGCCCGGGGTTTCCCAGAGCATGAAGTGGGGGCCCTGTCCCCCTCCGGACCAGTATGCGGTGTGGGTGGGGTGAAGTGCTTTGAAAACTTCATAAACAGGGTGTTGGAACCGGGGCCTGGTTCTCGTTTCTAAGGGAAACCAGCTTCAGGAAAGACTTTCAAGCAGACTACTGGCTCCACCACATGCAACCAGTGAAAACTGGCACGAGTCCACTTACTCGAGACACAGGTTAGCTGGTTCTGAAAGCATGTCCTCAGTGAGCAAATCTTTTACCTGGAGACCCCAAACGAGAAGCCCCGCATCTGATCTCATCACGCCCCCTACCACCGGGCCTCCCTGACGACCTCACAAGCACGGGGGGCCCGGAGAAGGGAGCCAGTGTCCTCACCGAGTGTGGCTGTAAGCTATCTGCCACACATTCTCAAACGAGCACACGGATTTCTCCAGAAAGGCTTTCCTCCTCGTCCCGGGAAAGCCCCAGCGGTGCCTCGGGCGCATCCTCCCCGTGCAGTGATGTGCAGGGAATGGCATCCCGTAGGAGGGCTTCACGGGGCCGTTCTCCGTGCTCGCCTTCCGACCAGTGCAACGAGGAAGGTCCTTCCCAGATGCCCAGGCCCTGGTACACGGTCCAACCCAGGGGGTACAGAGGGGCCCGGCAGGGTCTCTCCAGCCTCGAGAGGGGAGCAGCAAGTAAGTCTGGGGTGGTGGGAGGGGTCCTCTTCTCCAGGACGAAATGTCACCCACTCAGTTCGATCACTTATTTGCAACAAGCCAAGAATGTCCGTCACTTCCCTCGGCGATGCGGTCTGTGCCGGTGACCGTGCGGTCAGGGCCAGGGCAAGACCAAGGCCCGAGGGCAACCACGGCCGCAGCGTAGCCACACTGTGACACAGGAGCAGTGTACTACCTTTTCGTGAACACGAGTGAAGGGCAGGAGGTGGGAAATGAGAGAGCCTTTTATCCTGTCCGTGCCAGGGACCTTGGTCAAGGCAGACGCTTCAAGGATGGTGGGTGGCTTTTTAACTTCGACGCACAAGGCAGCTTCGCGGTCGGAATTCTGATCAGTGATACTCTAGAACCACACATATCATGAACATCCCGGGATAAATAAAGGACAGAACTCGTTGTTAATCCTGTTTATTAAAAAGGGTCCTACAGCTTTACAACCCCAGCTCAGGCCTGGCCCTGGAGTGAGGCCAGCCCTTCACCACATCGACACCAAGCTCACGCCCTTGGCTCCACCCCGTGTGGGCTTGTGGGTGTCCCCCCCCCACCGACCTCGGGGTAGGCAGCAGAGGTACTGGGGAGGGGCGGGGCGGGCCCTGATCTCCAGATTCGCAAAACATGGCAGGCACTCCCATCCCATTCGGCTGTGACAGTCCAGGAGAACCATATGCTAACTGAAGACACGGGTTGGTGGCCTCGCCTCTGGCCTGCTGTGACAGACGCCGTTTGAGCACTGCCTCCAGTCTGTCACTAGGGCAGGCGAGAGCCCAGAGGGCCAGGAGGAGCCAGGGGTGTTCCCAGGGCGTCTGCCGATCCTGGTGCTGGCTTTCTCCAAAGCATGACGCCCACCCTGAGGCCCAATCAGAGGCAGAGAATATTGGCTACGAGTATCCTGGTTCGACAGGACAGAATTCTTCCACCTGCAACACGACGACCTCGGACAAGCCCCTCTGGGAACACAGAGCCAGTAGTGAGAGCTACCCCTCGGCCTGCCCAGCCTGTGGGCCTGCAGGGGAGCCACGGACGGCCCCTCATTGGCACCAGGGGAAACTAAGGCACAGCACAGGCACCCACAGGTGTGACCATACACTGCTTGTAAGAAAGGAAATTGCATTCGCTTCTGCACCTCAATCTGTTCAAAACAAGATGTGCGTTTTTATAAAGTTTCCCTGAATGGTCTTGTGTCAAAAAAGTTTTCTTTCCCAATATAAAACAGGAAAATTACAGACATAGTAAAAATACTGGGGGGAGTATTTCTTCGTAGAAACCGTCAGGGGCTGGCCCGAGGCGGGGGAGAGAGGAGGAGCCGAGGACGTGGTCTGCTGTGCAAAGTCCGGCTCGGACCAATCTTCCCCGGCCCGGCTGCAACGTGCCCAGCCTCCGGACCTGGCAGGGGGCCGAGTGCAAACCCTGCATGTGGCTTTGAAGCATCCAGGTTCGGGGGGAGGGACGATTGGCCACCCCAGCCCACCGATTCAGTAAGCACCTTCCAGGCAAGCCCACCTGACAGACCCTCACCAGGGACAGCGGCGGGCAGGGCCACACAGCACTGTCTTTTGTGCACAACGCAGGAACGATGATGCAGCTTATTAAATAAAGCTGCAACGGGAGGAACACGATTTTAAGTGGGAAGGGAGGGAGGCTTCCCCCCCAGACTTAGGAGTCCATCAACACTATGAGACTTAGAAATCATACTGAGAACACAAACCGGTGCGGCCGCGGGGATGCCAGGCTGAGGCCCTGCACGCACAACCACCTGGGTGCAAAACCGGGGTCTACGTCTACTTACCACTGACCTACAGTTCTACAAACGGGGGCGCTGGCGCAGGGCCACAGCCCCCCGGTCCTCGCAGCCTGTGTGTGCCGAGCCCTGGCCAGCAGGTGCAGGCTCCCCGGAGGGACGGGGTCACTCACTGGAGGATGAAGCCCGGCTGGTGTGGAGGCAGCCGGGGCGGGGGTCTCTGGGGGAGAGCGGGCGGGTACGGAGACACGAACTGTGCGGAGAATCCTTGCTGGCTGGGGAGGCCCACGCGGGGGGGCAGGGGAGGACACTGCGATCCAGGGTACGGGAAGGCCTGTCCTGAGCCCATGGCGGCGGTGAACGGTGTGGCCAAGCGTCCTGCGGGCACCGGGGGAGGCGGCGGGGGGATGCGCCGAGGTAGCACAGAGGGGGGCCCGCTGGCTTCTGAGGTAGGGTAGGGCAGGGGGGCAGCGGGCACTGGCTCGGGCACCCTGGGTGGCAGCGGGGCGGGCACCGAGGCCTGTGGCAGTCTCTGTCCCTTCAGCACCAGCTCCTGGAGCTTCTCGATTTTCACTCTCCGTGTGTGGGCCAGTTTCCGCTTGCTCTGATAGACATCGATGAAGGAGTCCAGAGGAAGCTCTCCGTCGAGAAACTTCTCTGCCATGTTCTGAAAGGAGGAGGAGAAACTCGTTAAAGGACGGTTCAGCCCTTGGGGAAGGAACTCCTTCACCCC